CTTTCTTTCTTTCTTTCTTTCTTTCTTTCTTTCTTTCTTTCTTTCTTGTTGTTTTGTTTTGTGTTTGTTTTTTCAAGACAGTTTCTCTGTAGCTTTGGAGCCTGTCCTGGAACTAACTCTTATAGACCAGGCTGGCCTCAAACTCAGAGATCCTCCTGCTTCTGCTTCCCAAGTGCTGGTATTAAAGGTGTGTGCCTGTCTTAGGGCAGGGTTTTCTAGCTACAGCATTCAGAACACTTGGGCGAGTGAATTCCTTGCCATGAGACCTGACTCTTCGCTGCTGAATGTTGAGCAACACCTCAGTGATGTGGGAGTTCCTTCTGTATATGTGTTGCTTTATTAATTGATGAATAAAGCTCCTTCTGCCTATGGCAGGGCAAAATAAAGTGAGGAGGGAAATCTGATCAGAGATAGAGAGTAAGTGGAGTCATTGGGATGCCATGTAGCTGCCAAAAGAGAAAGGCGCCAACTGCTAGCCAGAACCTTACCAGTAGGCCACAATCTTGTGGTGATTCACAGGTTAATAGATATGGGTTAATTTAAGATGTAAGGGATAGCTAGAAATATGTTTATACTATTGGCCAGTGGTGTTGTAATTATTATAGTTTCTATGTCATTATTTGGTCTGGGCAGCTGGGAAAAAGAGTGAGCAGTCTCTGCTTACACCTCAGCTTCTACCTACTCCATTCCAGCCTTATTGTCTCCCCTAGTTGTGACAGCTGAAACATGTCTAGTCATTGCCATGTGTTCCCTGGAACTGGGGTGGGGATAAGGATAGAGGGAGGAAGGAGGAGTGGGGTGTGGGAAGGCACACTACCCCTGCTTAGAATAGATTGCTTTAGAACAGTGATTCTCAACATGTGAGTCTCAACTCCTTGATGGCTGGGTGTCACCACAGCATGAGGAACTCTATTAAAGGGTTCTAGCATCAGGAAGGCTGAGAAGCACTGCTTTAGAGTCTTAAGTTGCAATCAACCTTTGATTCCTCACAGAGCCCTTCTCTCATTCTGTTGTAGATGGTCTCCAACATAGGAAGGTGAAGTGGAGCCAGACTGGAGGTAAACCCCTAGATTTACAGTAAGCTAAACTGACGCTTCCTTTTTATTGTATCTTTATAAACATTTAGTTTGTAAAATCTGGCCTCAACTGCAGCCCCAAGGATTGAGAGCAAGACAGAGGCAGCCACACTTGGCCCTAACGGCTGGGCTCTCTCCACTGACCTGCTAGGTAAGGTCAACCTTGGGTGTGGAGATCTAAATCATCATGGCATATTCACAGAGAAGAATCTAAGTTTCAAACTCTGCCTTCTTTTTCAAGTGACACACATTTGGTTTTATTTCATTTTTCTTTGAGTGTGTGGGTCAACAGTTTCCTTATAATTTTCTATAAGGATGGGGCAAACAATATGTGCCAGAGCTTGGAAGTGCAGTTGTCTGAGCGTGTTCTGACATAGGTCAGGTTTGAACTTGAAACCTGGTGTAGAGCTGAGCTGTGGGAAGAAGCAGAAGGTAGCTGTCAGCCACTGGGTGATCAGACAAGTTCCCTTCTTTCAAACACCATTGTTTTTCCACCCTCAGTTAAATGCTTCTGCTGTGTGATACTCTGTTACTACTGAGGGAATTTGCCCAGATGGTCTTGTGAGAGGCAGTTTTGATCCTGGGAACTGAAGGCATGGTTTCAACAATATCACTCTGAATTTAATATCCATAAGTAGGCTCACTTGAGTTTTCAATTTCTGTAGTGAAAAAGAATTCAACGTGTAAGACTTATTCATGCAAAGGTATTCAGACATAGGGTGTACTATGAAAGAAGACTCAGAGATAGCCCTAAGAGTTGACAGAGAGGTATTGACAGGTGACACAAAAATTAGAACAATGAAAAAAACCATAGATAAATGTCTGGAAAAACATAAAAACAGATTTTGAATATACATCCCCATTCCATGCATGGCTATTTTACATGGAACTCTGTTGTTGTTGTTGTTGTTGTTGTTGTTATTAAAGTCCTGGCAGTTCCATGTGATAGAAGATGTTTTGAAGTATGGGGAGAAAACGAGGCCTGGCCTACTGGGCTAGACATTGAAATAGCGTTCTTCATCTTCCCAGAAGCCTTTGCCCACATCTTTACTCCTGGCTGCTGTTGGGATTTCATCTCAAGATTCAATTTTGATTGGCAGAAGCTTGTTTTCATTTTGTTAGTGATTGGTCTGCGGATGGACCTAACACTCTGTCACCAACACAATAGGTGTGATGATTAGTATTAGTTGTCAATGTGATTTAATTAATTGGCACATAGGAAGTAAGTGAAGCACACCACTGGGTGTCTCTGTGACTTCATTTCCAAGGATGATTACATCCTGGGGGCTCTGACCTAATCAATGCATCCATCCTTCAATTGACTCACATGATGCTGGCATTATTAGGAGGCAGAGCCTTTGGAGGAACTTGATCAGTGGATACATCCTTACTCTATAGTGCCTCTTCTCCTTCCATGGCTGTTTTGGAGTGAGCTGACATACTGTGCCAGGCCTCCTCCACCATGACTGACTGAGCCCTCTGAAATCGTGAGCCAAAGTTGATCTTTCCTTCCACACATTACTTCTGTTGGGTGTTTGGTCAGTGTGAAGAGAAAAATAATGAATACGCAAGGGGAAATTTACAGAGAACTTCCCCTCCTGTATCAAAAGAGAACCTAAGGCATCAGCGCAGTGACCCATGGTTTCTAATTCTCATATTCAGAAGGCAGAAGCAGGAATATTTCAGATTTCTTGCTCCCTGGGATGCTAGTAAGAAGATCTTAGGATACATGAAGTATTATTACTCAGCTCTGGAGTCTGAGTTGACAAACATTTGTGTGGGAAACTAATACACAGAGCATAGGAAAACAGAAAAGTGAGAGGTGTAATTATAGAGCACTGACCTTTCCTGAAGCCATGCCCCCTTCAGAATCTTTAGAGTAAATAATGAATAACCTTTCTTCTTTTTTGATATTGGGGGAAATCAAGCCTAGAGACTTGAGCATGCTAAACTATCAGTCTATCACTGAGCTACACCCCAGGTAAACAATGATTAATCTTTATATATACAGAAGTTTCTATCCTGCCTGGTCCTACAGCCATTCAGTCCCAAAGAAACACACAGAGGCTTATATTAATTATAAGTGGTTTGATCTAATAATAGCTCAGGCTTATCATTAACCAGCTCTTACAACTTAAATTAACCCATAATTCTGTGTTTAGCCATGTGGCTTGGTACCTTTTCTCAGTAAGGCATTCTCATCTGGCTTCCTCTGTGTCTGGTTGGTGACTATATCACTGCCTGTCCTCTTCCCAGAATTCTCTTAGTTTGGTTGCCTGCCTATACTTACTGCCTGGCTACTCGCCAATCAGCGTTTTATTAAACCATTATGAGTGACAAATCTTGACAGTGTACAAAAGCGTTATCCCACAGCATCTTTATGGCTTTCTCCATGGTGTAGCATTTTATTCCTCAACACAGGCTGAGGGAAGGACTGACTCCTGTCTTATGTGTTCCTATTTCTTACATTTTTAAAGCATATATTGTTTTTAGTCCATACATAGTAATTTTACTTATTCGCGGATTACAGTGTGGCATGTACTGTATGTAACATGTAATGAACAGATCAGATTAATTAGCATATCTGTCACCTTAGATCAGCAGTACTTCTTTGTGCTAGGAGCGTTGAGGATCTGCTATACTAGTTGTTTTAAACTATCCATTAACTATCAACCAATCATGATGAGCCTACTGCTCTCTAGAATGTTTCCTGCTTCTTTAAGTGTGTCAAACCAAGTTCTTAAGAAATGACACACATTTTTTAAAAGTCTGAAAAATCCCAAGAGCTAAGATAAAGGTTATGGAAAAATGGAGTTCTTTACAAAAATAACAGGCTACATCCATATTTGTTAGATATCATGAGAACGGCATTGGCTTTGAAAAACATTATATGATGTCTGGCAGTGTTGATCTTGGACATGGTTATCTTACCCTCTGCCCAATGCTGGATTCCCACTAAGAGGAAGCCTCCTCCTTTCTCTCTTTTGTGTTCTGATGATGCTAATGATTTCTGTGTGACAGACACAGTGAAGAATGCATTCAGTTGACAGACAAATGGGGGAATGCATTCAGTTCACATAAGGACTTAATGAGCCACTCTAACACCAAACTCCTCGCCTGCAAGGTTGTATCTTTGCAGTGATTTGCCCTCACCTATCTCTCTGAGTGTGTACTTTGTGCCAACAGCAGCAGTCACCTCTGAGTGTCAGGTGCGCTTTGTCAATAGACGTTTGGTGGTAGGAGATTTTGATCTGTGCCTTTTGTTCCAGCTTGATATCCTCATGTACTTTAGATTAATGAAACATGAAGGAATTTCTAGCATAATGCTTGCATTCTGTTTTGCTCTTTGAGTACATATTAATTATGTACATTATCTTCCTATAAGGAAAATAGATTCACTCAGCTCTGTGCTTTAACTTTTTGCCCAGATTCCTGTTATCCTTTCTCTGTTGCTGCTGCTGCTGTTTTGTTTTGAAAATTTTGTAGTAAAACAGGGACAAGAACTTTGTCTTTGTTGCTGTCCATAACAGAAAATTCTTCAGGCATTTTTCCCCCCTCCCATCCTTCATTGCGGGGAAAGAGTGATGCTGGCAAATGCTGGGACTGAAGGTCACGCTGCCTGGCTTTGTGGGGACAGATGGCCATTGCTCATCATGTTAGCAAGAAGCTTGGTGCTCACTTCTGGACATCAGCTGCTCCCTATGTATATTAAGTGATAATTTAGCTTCAGGTGGCACCAACCCTAGTGCTGTCTGTCGGGTCTCCTGCTTTCATAATGGAAAATATTTGAATAGTGGCACTTACCTTCCTGTCTTTTATTATGAAACAAAGGCTTTTCAGTAAAACAACTAAGCTATCCCCAAATATGACTGTATCTGATTATTGTGACCTTGCTCTACCAAGTAGGTGTTTTGAATTTAGAACCTCAAGGAAACAATTTTGTAAGTTATCTGAAACAAAATTTTCTTTAGACACTGTCTTGTATGACTTATATAGATTAGCTAAGTCAGACTTCTCAACATCGTATTTCCATTTAAGGACAATATAATTTTAGTACTGACATGGGAAACTGTCCAAGGATATAAGAAACAAAGGAAAAATAGCAGGAGAGCAGGACACTTTGCATAATATAATAACTATTGCCACAAAAATATGGTTCTTGTACGTATGTCTTAGTATATAACTATGGATTCTGAGTCAAAATGAAGTGACATTCAGTTACATTAAAATTTTTAAAAACCGTTGAAACATAAACAAAGCAGGCACAACCTTTGAATATAAAGCAAGGGTAAGTCCCAAGGCTGGGGTCAGGTAGAGCTGATGGAGGCTGCTGAGCAGGACAGTAGTTACTAGGACACAATATTTGCCAAGAGATGGAACATTGCTTGGTTTAGAAAGAGTATTAACTTCCTTGATTGTTTTTGCTTCATTGACAAACTCTGCTTCTGAAGTGGCTTCATGCTCTCTGGAGCAAATATGTCATTAATATTAACTCATTAATATACATTAGTATGTAATTCTCTTCCTTTGGTGTTTGTTAAGGCTCAGGTCTCAGCCAGAGTTCAGAAATCTTTACTATCTTATTCATTTATATTCCTCTGATGTTCCACAATCCAGATACAACACCTAGAATATATAGTATACTAACAGAGAAATCATTAAGTCAGGGTTCCAGGACATCACAATGTAAGATAGTGTGGAGGGCTGGATGGTGGTGCACGCCTTTAATACCAGCACTCAGGAGGCAGAGGCAGGTGGATCTCTGTGAGTTTGAGGCCAGCCTGGTCTATAAGACCTAGTTCCAGGACAGGCTTCAAAACAGAGAAACCCTGTCTTAAAAAAAATAGTGTGGAAGTATTTATAATAAAAGTTTGTTCTTGCACTAAAAAGAACAAATTTGTGTCCAAGTTCTCTGATCAGTGGAGTAAAACGGGGAATGTGGCAAGTTGTGATATCAAAGGGACTATTCTTTCTTTGATGAT